AAAAAGAAAAGTTGCTGAGCATGCCAGAGGAAGCAAGTCAGTAAGCAGTGTTCCAATGATATAGGCACCAGTACAATCCCCATTTTATATAGCCGGTGGACAAGGCATTAAGTGATTTAGCAACTTGCTGAGGGAAAAATAAAGTAGTTCTAAAATCTGTATGTCTAACCATTGTACACCTCAAAGAATAAAATGGATTTGCATGAAGCATTGAACAGGAGCTTTGATGTCGTAGATGATTCGTATTCATCATGCAGACTGTACAGAAAGGAAGGAAGAAATAAAAACCCATAACCACCACCAACAGTTAATGTAAATTATTCAGGGTATGTCTTTTTGTCTACAGGTCGGATGGACAGGTGAGATAGATAAATGGTGGTTAGGTGATAGGTAAGTGAACATAACATTGGTACAATGTCTGCTGACTTATCTGTGTGAGCGATGGTCACGTGTGCACATTGACCCATCCACCCCGCACCAACTTTGTCTTTATTTGTGTCAGTTGTGTTATTGCACTATTTTCAACATGTATAAAACTTAGGAAATCCCTCTAATAATAATCCCTTCACTGTTTATGTTAGTTTAAATCAGTGGTGGCCACTGGTAACTTTTAGCTCTTGTTTTATTGTTGTTAAATATTTACTTGAGATGTCAGCTGATTGACTAGGTTTCTGCTATGAAGCAGGGTTTTCAAAAACAGTTGGTGAATACTGTTTAACTACTGGATCAGACTTGAAATTTTCCTGGTTTCTTTTTGGGGGAATTTGCCATTGCCTTCATATTTAAAGTACAGCTTGTGTAATATTTCACCCACTCGGAGAGCTTAAGTTAATGTATTTTGACATTAGAAGAGGCTATGGAAAAGCTTAAAGCCAGCCTGCCCTCATGGTGGTTCCTTCTACTTGTGAGCACCTAGTTTGCTTTAATCTTGAAATACAAGAACGGAGAATATGTTGCTGTTGACCATTATTCTCATACCACCAGGGTATTCCTGACCTGCACACTCATCAGGATTTCTTCTTTACTTGTTTGATTAAGACCATGGTTCATGTTTTGTATATGTAAGTGGTATATACACACGTATGTGTGGGTGTGTTCACCTATGCATGCACATGTGGAGAGCAAAGTTCAATGTCTGGTGTCATCCTTTTCCTCTTCACCTTATTTTTTGAGACAGGGTCTCTCACCAAACCTGGAACTCACCATTTCTGCTAGACTGGCTGGCCAGCGAGCCCCCGGGATCCTTGTGCCTCTGTACTCCCAGGGCTGGGGTAGAGATTCATGCTACCTCACCCTGATTTTCTATGGGTGTTGGGGATCACAAGATGGGTCCTCATGCTTTCACAAAAGGAACTTTATCCACTAAGCCATCTCCCCAGCCCCCTACCCTGTCTTCTTTTTACTCTCTAACTACTTGATTTTTTAAATTGTTTAGATTGTTTTAAAACATATTTTGTAAAACTTCAATAGCCTGTGACTGAAGAAAAATTATTTCTGAATTTATCTACTTGCTCTTTGTGATGAAGTTTCTTCAACATAAGCCCACAAAAATCTTCTTTCCCATTTGTCCTTGGAATGCATCTCTACCCAGGTCTGAGCATTCAAACAGTCAATCTGGTCTACTCCAAATCTCTAAAAGTCCACAGTTTCACTGTGTTGCAATCCAGCAATCACTGTCTTTCATACCCCTTTCCTCCCAGTGTCCCTGGGCTAAACACTGCTAAGGACAAATATAAAGTGATATGCATACTTTACTTTCCCAAATCCACCTCGTTTGATATTTTATAATACAGAAGTAAGGAAATTCTACACTTCCTCCAAGGCCGTTCAATTCCCAAGTCTTCTCTCTATAAAAACAAATGTTGACTACGCATTGGACAACCACAGAGCTTACTTGGAGTGGCATCAAGAGAGGGTATATCAACTGTCAGCAAGTGACTTATAGATCAGTAATTCATAACATTTTGTAGGTGTGTTTCGAAGTTTAAGATTTGGAACTTGGGGCTGGAGAGCTGTTTCAGCAGTTAAGAGAACTGACTGCTCTTGCAGAGGACCCAGCACCCACATGTGGGTTCGATTCCCAGCACCCACATGGCGGCTATGAACCGTCCTTAACTCCAGTTCCAGGGGAATCCGACACCCTCTTCTGACCTCCACGGCATTGCACGATATAGGTGCACTCACATACATGCAGGAAATACACTCATATACATAAAATAAAAATAAGGTATTTTTTAAAAAGATTTATTTTAAAAAAACATTTGGAACTTGGGCCATTTCATTGTTTGAGGAAATATGTTTTATTTTTTACTGTGTACTCTTTTCTGTAGTTTTTATAACATCTGCCATAAGGCAAATCTCTCATAAAGTTCCACAGATAGTTTTGTAGGTTAACCAACAGATGTATATTTACTAACATTTCAGGGTCTCCTACCATTTTAAGTGTCTCATTTTTCTTGTCTTTAGAACTCAATCAAAAATATTCTATTTTTTTTTTTCAGTCTTTTTGAGACAGGGTCTCCCCGTAGCCTCAGCTGTCCTGGAACCCACTATGTGGACCTGGAACTCACTATGTGGACCTGGAACTCACTATGTGGACCAGACTGGCCTTGAACTTTTTTTTAAAATTTGATTTATTTTTATTTCATGTGTAGAGTGTTTTGCCTGCATGTAAGTGTGCTTGTGTATACAATGCCCATAGAGGCCAGAAGAGGGCGTTAGAGTCCCTGTAACTGGAGTTATAGTCAGCTGTAAGCCACGAGGGTGCTGGGAATTGAACCCAGGTCCTCTACTAGAGCAGCCATAGTCTTAACCATTGAGCCATCTCTCCAGGCCTTGAACCCCGTTTGATTTTTAAATGTCTATTTTGAAGTTTCCAAACCTAGAATCTTCAAAAATCAGATTAAGAAAAGAGTGTATCTAATTTCTGATTTTTTCTTGATTTGACTAAAAAGTGAACGACAGCATTTGCTTAAAATATTAAGAAAAGTTTGATGGCTCACTGTGGAAAGAAACACAATGACAGTGTTTAGAAGGCATTTTTAGGTGCTCACTAGACAAACTGGTAATGACTTGTGTGGAAATCAAGAGTGATGTACAGGTGGAAGCAGGGGCTTTGTAAGGACCAGTCCTAATCTATACAATGTATATTCACTGAGAAATAATAATCACCAAGGGATTGGAAAGGCAACCTGTGAAGCAATCTATTAATGATGTCGAGAAGGAACTGACCATGCTGTGATTGACACTGACTCCCAAGGGGTTGCTAGGATACCACCAGAGAAGGAAGACTGTCTGAAGCACAGGAAATACGCTAAGTTGCAACTGTATTACCATGGTCTGTTGTTAAAATCAGTGGAAAATGACAGAAATCCAACCCAGGAAAAATTATTAATGCTCCAGACCCTTCAGGAATGAAGATTTGAGTCACCTGCCATGAAGTGCAGCCAGGTGGTGTGCTTGCTAAGGGTTAAGAGAATATGGGAAGTGTAGCAGAGAAGCCTTAGAGCACAAGTCATGAGCATGTGAGTAGTACCAGCAGTGAGGACTGTAACTGTTATGAAGACTTCCTCCTCATTTTATTATGAATATTTTATGAGTGTTTATAGATCACCTTTGTTTTCTCCCCTCCTTTACCCCCTCATCTTATAACATGAGATGTGTTAACATTATATCCTTTTATCGAGTACTGTTCCCTTACATAATGATGTTTAAGTTTGGGGTATCCAAGAGAAGAGCAAACACTCCACCCAAAGGATTCTGCAGAAATGATATGCCCATTTTCAGTTGCAAACAGGAGAGAGTATCACATAGGAGGAAACATGACCTTCATATTGTCCTCACAGCTTAAATATGAGATGCACGTGGGTGCCAAATTGACAAGTTGGGCTTATGGTGGTTAAATTTATGTGTCAAGTTCGTTGGGCCCTGGTGCCCGTATGTTAGGTAAGCATTATCCAAGATGTTTCTATGAAAGTGTTCTTGCAAGAGATTAGTACTTAAGGTGGTGGATATTGAAAACAGCAGATCATTCTTTATAATACAGATGAGTATCCTCTGACCTTCCCTGGCCAGAAGGAATTCTGCCAGCACACTGCTAGAGTCTTCAGTCTGCCAGCCAACCTCTATCAGATTTCTAGCTCACCAAGTCTCCCCAAGTGCATGAACCAACCCCTTCTCTCATACATCAATAGATAATAGATACACACACATATGTACATAGGTGGATATAGGCAAGCAAGTGGATAGAGATAAGTACATATAAAGAAAGATACACAACTGTCCTTTAGTATCCATAGGGCTTGTTCCAGGACCTCCCATGAATCCCCACATATGCAGATGTTCAAGGCCCTTTTATACAGTGATGAGGTGTCTACATGTGATCTATATACATCCTCCCATAAACATTATCTCATCTCAATTTCTTACAGTATTGAATAAAAGATGAACACCATGTTAATAGCTATTACACTATAGTTAGTAGGACAAGGAAAAAGTCCATATCTGTTCAGTACAGGTGCATTTTTTCCAAATATTTTTCAATCCACATATGTCTTATCTTCCTAAATAGGTGATCATTTACTCAAGGATTAAGGTCCCAATTTAAAATTCTTAGCCTTTCCCTGGTCAGTTCACAGGTGATCCAAATATCTTTGCTGAATTGGCAAGAAATAAGAATTATGATGCAATGAGGCTGCTCCCTAGACTATTAGATGGAAAGATAATTTTCTTTAAGACAGAGACAAATTTTGCTGATTGCATTATGGTTTCCACATGGGAAACCGATTACTGGCGATCATACATCCTCCCCAGTGCCCAGTCCACCCCACATCTCTTTCAAGGTAACATTCTGGTTGAATAAGTCATGAATATTTATGTGGTGACACACTGATCTTAGATTTGTGCCCATCAATCTAAGTGATGAGACCATTCCATGGCCACCCAAGTTTCCCGTAACTTTTTGCTCGCAAGTAAAATCTCCCGTCCCCGGGGCCACTTACATCATACTTTCCGGTTCTACCGCACATGCGCCAACTGCCTTTGTGACATTCACAAGAAGAGCTTGGTTTATTCCAACCAGGAGGTTCACAAGGGATTGAATGCCACCACACTTCCGGACAATGACACGGTTTTCATGTTCTTGACAGCATTCTCCTAAGGCCCCAACAACATTCACAAGAACTTCTTCCGGCTGATCAGTTAAGAGTCCCACCAAAGTTTCGATGGCTTTATACTCCCGAAACCTAAGTTCAGAGAGAGAAAGAGAAGACTGTGTACAGCCCAAAGTACTGGGGAAAAGAACTCATAAATACCAAACGCTCATTCCACCCAAACAACAAAGTTACTGTGTAGACAATCATGCAACACCACCACCAGTCTCAGATGCTACTCTGAAGCCTGTTAAGAAAGGCTGACACCTGCTCCCAGATGCCAGCTCCAAGCCTGCCGCTCTGTCTGGATACACTACATTGCATAGCCTTAGATAGCTACGGTTTCATCCCAACCTCAGCATGTGTGAGTTCACTCTGCTAAGAGGGTTTTCCTGTCTTAGAGAAATTTAAGTGAAGAAAGCATATTAAATACATATTGGAGATGAATTCTATATTTTCATTTTTATTAAATATTTTATTTACATTAATACATGCATATAATGTGTTTGGCTCTAACCAACCCCCATTCCCTCCCCTCAAATTCCTTCCCATAACCCCACTTTTCCCTCCAAACTTTATGTTCTCTCTCTATATCTCCCTCTCATACTCCATGCAGCATTGCCCATATGTACATGAACTTAAGAACTTCTACTACAGCACGGCCTCCTAGGGCCTGCATTCTTGAAGAAAAGTGACTCTCCCTCCCCCCAGAGTCATCAATTGCCAAAAGCTCTTCAGCTAGGGATGGGACTTCATGAGCCCCTCCCCCATCCATGCTGGGATTGTGGCTGGTTCAATCTTGGTATGTCTTGTGCATGTAGTCACAGCTCCTGTGGGTTCATTGTGCAACTTCCTTCTCATGTCCAGCAAAGAGTGTCATGTCTGTTTCAGTACAGACATCCACTCACTCTGTTCCCCTCTCCCATGATGATCCCTGAGCCTTGGACATAGGGGTGTGATACAGATGTCCCATTTAGAGCTAAGTACTCCAGAGGCTCTTCTTCTCTGCACATTGACTAGTTGTTGGCCTCTGTATTAAGTCCCATTTGCTGAAAAAGAGAAGCTTCTCTGATCAGGATTAAGAGACACATTAATCTATGGGTACAAATATGATAGTTTAGGGGGTAGCTTAATATTATGTCCACATAGCAGAATAATAGTACTAGGTTTTCCCCTTGGGCCTATGGCCTCACCAGCCATGTTTTTGAGTTCAATTAACAGTACCAGGTATGGGATCCACGTTATGAAACAGACTTTAAATCCAATCAGAAAGTGGTTCATTCGTGCCATAACATAACATTCATGCCACTACTGCTTCCTGGTCTTTATTGTATCCTTTCAGGGTTCACACCTGGATGACTTTTCTCCACTGGTAGCATGTATAGAATCTTCCAGCACTATGAAAGCTAACCAGTGGGAATAGGGCTTCCACCTTGGCACCAAGTTGATTTCACCACATTCTATGACTCAGATATGTGATGTCTTCAGTAACAGGGTCTTACCATCGAGTTCTGGAGGGTAACCAAAAGCAATGGCAATAGCCTGTCATGTTTGGGGGCAGAGATCTGTGAGACCCCACTGATCATCAGTTTGAAAAGAGGCAATGCATACCTGGCACTGAGTTTTTTAATCTGACAATCAACGGTATTGGGGGAGGCATTGTTCCCATTATAGGGTAGTACCATGTAAACCCCTTTTATGTATATATATATATAATTTAAGATGCTTCTATACTAGTAGACTTCCATATGGCATTTTCAAAGGTCTTTAGTGTTGGTTATCCCTCTCCAGACCTCCTGCTCTACCTGCCCTCCCATCCCCACCCCAGTTAACCCTTACTATTCCATTTATTCCCTTCCCCCTTCTTACCATGTGTGTGCTCACTTAATTTATTTCATAAATCTCTCAAGCAAGTAATAGATCTAGTGCTACTCTGATTAACAAAACTGGTCTCCTCAGACCTCTCCAGTTCTAATTAATGGTAAGTTTTAGCATCTCTCTTCATGCAATATCATTCTGATTTTTTCAGTGGGCATTTAAGCCCAATGAAGCGAGCATTCAAGCGCATAGTTGAGAATTTCTGGTTTCTCCCTGTAAATTTCATCAGCGCTATTGTATCATGCTGTAGACGAACTTTTACTGCACTAATCTGATGTTTGAAATTTCATTAAGGTTGATTTTAATCTACTCAGAATTTCATCACACACTCTTAAGCAAGCTTATTTTCTGTTAGAACATTAGAATTTCTTCTTAAGGGAAATAGCAAATAGAGATAAAAGAGTTTTCTCAGAACACTCATGGGTAGTATGAACTCTAAACATACATAGAGATAAGTTTAAAGATTAAAATGAATTAAAATGTACAAGTACTGTGTATTTAAAAATATGAATACAAGGATTGAGGATACAGCTCAGTAGTAGACTGCTTCCCTAACATGTACAAGGCATTGGGTTTGATCCCCAACATCACAAAAAAATTAAAAGTAGATTAAAATAAAATTCAATGAACTCATACTTGAAAATAACAACTCTTTGTGGTTGGTTGCCATTCAGCTGAATCATCTTTAAAAAGGAAAAATAGGGCTGGAGAGATGGCTCAGCAGTTTAAAATGCTTGTTGTGAAATCATCAGGGCCAGAGTTTGGATCCCAGCACCTACATCATAAGTCAAGCAAGTGGGGCCTGCCTGTAACCCCATCTCCAAGTAGGGTGGAGACAGGAGGATCCCTGGAGTTTGGTAGCTTCCAGCCTGGCTGAAAATATGCAAGGCCCAGGCTCAGGGAGAGGCCCTGCCTCAAAGGAATAGAGAGACAGACAAGGCCCCCCAAAATCTCTGTTCTGGTCTCAGGTATGTGCACTATACACATGTGTATATACAATCACATAGAGATACACACATTAATAAATAAAATTTTAAAGATTAAAAACAGGAAAAATAAGCCACTTTCATCTGTAACAATTCAATGGACATACCTTTATAGGGAATACCAGAGAGATTTCTAATATGAATACTTGCTCATATGCAAAGCAGCCTATTACAGAGAGATATGTGATGTACCTAAAACAACTGCCTGGGATTGGGGTGGTGAGGGAACTTTCATTCGTAATAATCTTTACATTTTGTCAACTTTACCCAGAATGCATACTCTTGTGTATCACCAGAGTCAAACCTCCATAAAACCACCACTAAATTACGTTTTCTTATAGAATACTGAATGCCTTTGCTTACTTGATCACATTCTCTTTGCTGATGGAGCATTTCCATATTGCCCCTGTGACAGCTGCTAAGCGTTCTTTATTGTCGGTGTTACTGAGTAGACTGGCCAGGGGTTTAAGTCCTCCATGCAGCCTAACCAGGTCTCGGGTTTCTTCATCTTCCGCACACTGCACAAAAAGTCAAATCAGAGGTTGCCAGGAATGAAGGCATCTCAAGCATTCAGTCATCACTACAGAGGCTCTCATTGTACCAGAGGTTCCCAGCTTGAGATGCTGTTAAGGAACAGTGTGCATCAGAGCCCAGAGGGCGCACACTGAGATTCCCAGGTTCTTGTGTCCTGGAGAAAAGAAGTGTACCTGAGACACATGGATAGTGGTAGAACAAAAAGAGCTCACTGAGCAAGCCCTCTGAGAGCTGGGAGAGGTTAGGACCTCAAATGGCACTGGTCCAGAGAGTCCTGAGTCTTTACAGGTCATTTACATACTGTGAGCCTTCTCAGGCATATGGTGCCTTCCTCTGTGCATGTTCTGCCTCTTACATACGGCCCTGACAGAGAGGGGTTTCCCATCTTCTGGTTTCTATCATGTGTTAATATGGATGTCTCTCTCTACCAGAGTGCCACTTAAGATCCTTCCACTTTAGAATGATACAAAAGCAATATGAATCCACTGCAACCCGTACTGCAAGTTTTGGATTTTGATGTTTTCTTGGCAATAGCAGCAGCCTGCAGCTCTAGCCAGCTATGTGACTCCAGTGGCAAATAGCCAATGCTCTATGGTCTGCTGTGCTGCTGAATTGTGGTATCGACTAGGCCAGTTATTCAAGACATGTTTTACTTTATGTTTTCTCCATACCACAGGATTGTCAGAATAGAACCTCATCACGAGTATGGAGCATCTGCAATGATTGTTAAACTTCTCTTCAGGAAGAATGATTTCTTTTCTCTTTAATTTTAATTTTATTGAATTTTTGTGATTTTCATAAAATATAGCTTGATGGTATTTAGATCCCCTCCCCTAGTTACACCTCTCTCCAGAAAGTCTTCCCATACTGGCAGTTATCTGAGCACAGGTCTCTCCTTCTGCATGGTTTTGGTAACGCATCAAGGTTTCTATATACTTGGAAACTGTGGTGGTTTGAATAAAAAAAAGTCCCTCGTGGGTCCATGTATTTGGACACCTAGTTCTTAGTTGGTGGTGCTGTTCAGGGAGGTTATGGAACCTTTAGGGGATGCAGTCTTGTTAGAGGAAGTACATTACTGGGGACAGACATTTTGGGGATTTAGACCATCACCCAACTTCCTGTTCTTCTCTTTGCTTCCTGTGTGGATGAAGTGTTATCAGTTAGCTTCCTTTTCCTGCCCCCATGCCAGGCATTCTTTGCCATGACAAGACTCTGGAATCATAAGCTAAAACAAACGCTTTCTTCCTTAAGTTGCTTTTTGTCATGGTATCATAGTAACTCTCCCAAGCTATTCTAAGGTAACCTGGGCTTCACAGAGACAGAAGAGAGATCAGGAAGGAACCTGAAATGCCCTCTAATTAGATGGAACATGTCTACAGTGACATTCCAAAAGATAAAGGAGTGACAGGGACTGCCGATATCTTTAACAACCCCTGAAATCCAGAAATGAGGAATTCCCTTAGGAGAGTCTCTGTGCTCAGAGTAGCGGGTAGATAAATGGCATCCAGCATTTTACTCGGACACACTTGTCTGTGTCTCTGTCACTCTGACATATATATTTACTGTATAGATTTCCCCAACTGAACATTCTCCTCAGATTGTAGCACCAACAAATGATGAATTAAGCATTGATTTTGTTATTATCCTAAACCAACAGCTGTATTCTGGTAGCAGGTGATGCTGAAAGCTAATAGAATAGAATAATTTCTCATCATAATACACCCAGAGACAAAGTATGAAGTTAATCTTTTGAATATGATTTCAATTGTGGTTCTGTGATGAGTAATCATTTTATTTACACACATACATTATATATATGTATATACATATATAAATCAAAGCTATCATTATTGTGGGCTTAATTATACTCTCTCAAAATTCATAGGTTGACAATCTAACTCCCAGTACCTCAATATATGATATTTGGGGACAGGGTTTTAAAGAGGAATTTAAGGTTAGATGAAATCATTATGGTAAGCAGTAACCCAATATAACAGTTCTTCTAAGAAAAGATTAGGGCACAAACACACAAAGAAACCATGTCATGAAGACACAGGGAACAGAAAGTCAACTACAAGTCAAGAACAGAGGCCTCAGGAGAAACTGCCCTACACCCTGCAGACAGCTTCATCACAGACTTCCAGTCCCCAGGAGACAAATTCTGTTGTTGAAGCCACTCGGTCTGTGGTTGGTTGTGGCAGCCCTAACAAACAAACATAATCCCCAGCAGGAATGAATCTCCTCTCTGACTCAGTGTTCAGGATCTCCTCACTGTGTGCATCATAAGAGCTTTCCTCTAGGATGTCTGCTCTGATCAGGAAGAGGCTGGTGTGGTCAGTAACTAGCGAAACACTCACTTGTCAAGGCCGTCTTCTTCTCTTGCCCATTCTATTGTGGTAACAATCCACAATCCACACAAAGTTAGTGGAGATGAAAATAAGTAAACTCATAAAAAGATAAAGTGGAAATTCCTGACTACACACTCATTCATTCATCTGGTCTAGGAGAAACAATTTCCCAAGATCCTTGAATAAAATATGCATACAGCAGTACAGGGGTATCACATACTAATGAACCATTTTATCCTAAGTAAATTACTTTAGGAGACAATGAGAAATACACATTGATACACGTTTCTCTCTGACACACCAGAATAGGACATCTCTTATTGCCTCAGTATAGTAGTTTTCAGATCTACGCTCATGAAAAATCCTAGGATAATTACTAAAAATGCAGATCCCCGCCCCCATTAAGATTTGAAACTGGAATCTACCCACTGCCCTGTGACATGTTTTTAATGACTGTGGCACTATGTTGAGAGGAGGCTGGGGGAACCTTGAGGAAGTAGGGACAAGCTGGAGGAAGTAGGTCATTGAGAGAAGGTCTTGGGGTATATGAACCCTCCCCACTTTCTGTCTCTCTGCTTCCTGTACATTATCTCTGTTTACTTCCTGTCTCTGCGCTTCCTGTACATTATGTCTGTTCTCTCTCTCCTCTCTCCTCTCTCTCTCTCCTTTCTATACATTATCCTTGAACCTTCCTGTTTCTCTCCACTTCCTGCTCTCTCTTGGTGAGAGGAGCCTCTGCCACACACCCCTGCCACTACCAATTGAGCTGCTCCACAGTGACAACCTCACCATGACGGTCTGAAATCATGAGCCTAAATAAATCTTGCCTCTCTTGCTTCTGTCAGCTGTTTGAGACACAACAATAAGATAGCACAGCTCCGCAGAGGAGGAGACCGCGTGTTGAGAAGTTCTGCCTTCTGCCACCTCCAGCTCCACCCACCTGGTAGATGGCCATGGCGCAGTGCTCTTGAAGCTGTTCGTTCTGGCTGCTTAGGTTCTTCACGAGGTTTTCAATGATCCTTTCTGCTTTGATTGCAGCTCGATAGTTTTCCTAGGAGTGTAAACTTAGATACATATGTGGTATAATGCATGAATATGGTATTAATAACTAAGGGGAGCAAAGTGATTAGATGTCAGAGTCCAAGCTTTGCATATGATGTTAGACCCAATATTGAAATATAGTATCACACAAGTTCTGATTTAGTTAATGTACTATAGTTTAATTTTCTTTCTCTAAGAAAGCTATTTGGAAAAAATTATGAAAACCTTTAAAATTATTTTCTTAACTGAAGAAAGAAAAAGTGGGCTGGGGTGATGGCTCAGTGAACAAAGTGTTTACTGCACAATCATGAGGACCAGAGTTTCAATCTGCTACTGCCCACTTAAAAGTCAGGTGGGTAGAGAGGCCTGCCTGTGATCTCAGTACTCCAGAGACAGAGACAGGAGACCCCCAGGGCAAGCTGGCTAGCTAGACTAGACCAATCAGTGGGCTTCTGGAGAGACCTGCTCCAGTAAGGGGGTCCAGGGGAGAAGAGCACAGAAAGAGCAGAATTGGCTTGGGCACCTCTGATGCACATTCCTGCAACGTCCCCACCACTGGAATGAGCATGCTTTCATGAGAAGTCTTCAGTAGTTGAGCCAACAGAGGGATACCCCCGGCCTTCCGAATGGCTTCTTTATTGGAGTAACTTTTACTGCAGCTCCAGAGTGCCAGAGCCCCGCATCGAGCCACCTCCACATCCCTGGTCTCATACAGGCTTGACTGAGTGGGTTCTGCTGTACTGTGTGCACAATCCAGTAGAGCCACCTACAACAGATGGATACAATGTACACAGACATCTTTCTTCAGTTTTTAAATTACATTTATCTCCCTACTTATTTATTTATTTGTGTGTATATGTGTGCACACAAATGCACATGCCAAGGCATGTGTGTGGAAAACAAAGGTCAATTTGTGGGAACCAGTCCTTTCTTTCCAGGATATGGATCCCAGAGATCAACCTCAGGTTGTAAGGCTTAGCAGCAAATGTCTTTACCTACGGGGCTCTCTTGCTGGCCTGGACACAGAAGACGTTAAAATGACAGTGAATCTATCCTTCAATAGCTACAAGGTGGCTATGAAGATTACCTCTACTAAAAGTAAGCATATTTTTAAAGATATATTTTCTTTTTATTTAACCATACAATGAAATTAAAAATAAAGCCAAACTTTGACAATCAGTAATTGTCAGTAATAATTAATAATACTAAGCAGTGAAAGAAAGAAAAAAAGAAACAAAACATTTCATAACACCCTCCTCCAGATTTGGGAGCTCTTATGTTTCTTCCCTAGGAGAAAATCTCACCAAGAGAGTATTTTCTTCGTATGCCTCTAGTGTTTATAATCATAGTACTTGCAAAGTCAGGCATGGTGGTGCATACCTATAATCTCAGGACTCAGGGATCAGGGTTGTGAGTCCAAAGTTAATCTGAGCTAATATATTTGAGACCAGCCTAGATAATAGGGCAAAATCCCATTACAAACAACAACAATAATAATACTATTATTGTAACACATTCTCATCTCAGTAGCTCAGATCCAAGCTCTCTAAAACCACTAGAACTTTCTAAAGAGAACTGAATGGCTTCTATTCTTTCAAAACCAAGAGATCTCTTTGGAGAACACAGACAGCCTTGCACATATGCTACCAAAACCCATTAAACTAAATGTCTAGTATTCTCTTGTTTTTTTCCCCCCTTTGTAATAATTAAAGTCACTAAAGCCATTAAAGGAAAAGCAATTTACTAAAGCGACACAGTAGTAGATCAGGTCACCCCATGGGGGAAGTAAAACCAGGCCCCAACAGACAAGGCTGTCTGCGACACCTATGGGCTCACTGTCTTTATCGGGGATGTAGAACTCACCATCTATGGATGCCTACTCATCCTTCTTTCTCTGTTGGCCAGATTCCATAGTTTTTATCCACATAGTCACAACCACCCATGCCAAGTTTAGAAAGGAGTACCCAGACCTAAACAGGGCCTTAATTCCAATTCCAAATTCATGATTTATTTAGTTATGGCTCAAGGGGCAAGAGGGTATAGGGATGGGAAGGAGGGCGAGAGTGTGTGCACGGCTTTCAGCCTCAAATAAAATGGATAGCAAGGCAGGAAGGAAATTCTAAGACACACCAGGGCATCGGCCCCAGAGTGTCTGTCTGCAATGGTTAGTCTCATCTCTGTAAAGACTCTATTTAACTTCCCTTAACTCATGGGATAAGCCTGGTGTGAGCACCATGCCCCTCTGTCTTCACCTCACTACTCCAGCCATCCCACCCTGGGTCTGATCACACTAAGCCACTTGCAGCTTTGAATCCCTCCATGCTGTTTCCCAACCTTGGCCTCACCTTCCCGAAATGCCTTTCCTTGTGTGTCTACCAATCAAATACTCATCTCCCACAACCTGACCCTCTCCCTCCAGCCTTTCCTGGCTTTCCTCCTTCTAGGAAAACTAACTGACAACCCCCTCCTTTGCTTCTCCACTGCTCCCCTAACTGGCTCCCCTCCTGCATCTGCCCCATCCACCCTTGCCTACTCACTGCTAGACTGTGGTATGGCCATGCTCAGAGATGTACATTTATATATGTTCTGTCCCCAGTATACACAGTGCCACTCAGGAAATGTTGGAAATATTTTTCAATGAAAAGGAAAGAGGAACATGGTGACAGCGTGTCGCCTGTAGGGTTCTTCTGGACCTTGTGATATTTCCCAATGTGATGCATTCTTCCTCCTTTCTCAGACTTCGCTGCTTTTATCTGGGCATCTATTGAGACATCTCTCAAGAGTCTGGCCTCCTTTCAAGCTCCAAACCGTCTGTGGCCAGTGTCGGCCTGCCTGCCCTGGTCCTGCCTGCCCTCAGTGCCCTTGCTCCAAGGCTATAACCAGTCACCACTGTCCTCTGCATGCAGTCATCTCCCTTCAGTGCTAGTCAGAGACTCTTGCCTAGTGCTGTCTACTGCCTGCTCCACACCTAGCAAACCAAAAATGGCTCCACAGCAGTCCTGATCCTTCCCCAGAGCATTCTCAACCCAAGGATGACAACTCTGCTCTCATCCATCCAGTACTGATCATTTCTGTTCCTTGTTTAGCTGCTGTTTGAAGTTTAGTAAAATGAGGGTCAGTATCTTATCAGGTAAGTGCAATTGGATAAGTACTAAGTTCCCAAATGCAATGTGAGACTCTAAAAAAAAAAACATATTCTACTTTTATATTTTCATTCTTATAATTTATGGGAGTAGTTTCAACTGCAGCCATGCCAGTTGACCATATGATTTCATTATTTAGTCAGAATAATGATAACGATTGTAATGACTACATTTCTCCCAACATATAATCATGGAAAAGTTTAACGTACGTGAATGTTTGGGGTGTGTGTGTTTCTGTGTGTGTGTGTGTGTGTGTGTGTGTGTGTGTGTGTGTGCACCTGTTTATTTGTGAGTATGGGTACAAGTGTGACATGATGGGTGTGTGGAGGTCAGAGGACGACCTCAGGTGTCAGTCCTCACTTCCACCTTGTTTGAGGCAGGGGCCCTTGTTCTCTGCGACATATCCAGGCTAGCTGGCCTGAGAGCTTCAGATGGCTCCTCCAGTCTCACTGGGATTAAGATGTACACTTGCGCATCTAGCTTTCCGTGGGTGCTGGGATCCAACCTCTGGTCCTCATGCTTCCTCAGCAAGCACGGGGCCATCTCTCTAGCCCTAATTATGAAACAAGTCAAGCAGAGAAGCTGGAGGAATTGTGCAGCAGCTGCACAGCCAACCTCCGCAAATCTTACTCCTAGCTCTGTGTGAACGCTCCGCTCTGGTTTATGGCTTATCTAACCATCTCTTTGTTCATCTCCTGTGCAGTCTTAGTTTAGAAACAATTATATTCTATAGGTGTTCTATTATCACAAGTGAAAACATAGAATCTTTTTTAGTAGATTTTTGGACACACTTCTCTTGTGTGTATTTGAACTCAGGGCAAGAGGCACAGCTCAGGAGAGCACTTGCTGAGCACACAGAAGGTCCTGGGACTAATGCCTAGCACCACAAAATACAGCACACACACTAAAATCTGTGCCCATCCAACAGATACATGAACGCTTTATGTGTGTGGCACTGAGTTAAATGATGTGGATAGAAGGTGTAGAAAGAGAGGCTGGAAGATGGCTTAGTGGTTAAGAGCACTGACTGCTTTTGCAGAGGACCCTGGGTTCGATTCCCAGCACTCATATGGTGGTTAATAACCCAGTTCTAGGGGATCCAACGCCCTCTTCTGTCCTTCATGGGCATTGCACGACAGGGGTGCACTTACATACATGCAGGCAATATACTCATACACATAAAATAAAAATAATAGATAAAATATTTTTTAAAAGAAGGTGCAGAAAGAGACAAGATCCAACAGGACAAAGGCCAGGGGAGGCACCAGACAGGCACATCCTCACATTTCCTTCCACATTGCATTTACTTTTAAGAGACTGCAGAGTATGTGTCCCTGGATAAACTCCTATCCTAAACTTCACCCACCCACAGCTCAGGGATCATTGTGGAAGAGGTGGCAGAAAGATTGTAAGAGCCATGGTTGGTCCATGAACATAGGGAAGCAGAGGGTTTCAGGCCACTGGAAGCTTGCTCATGTGAACTTGGGGCAATGGTGGCATCATTCATGCACAAGACCCATGCCAACTCAGTCAGCCAAGGGCCCAGAGTGAATCCAGGGAACTGGGTGGAGGACCAGCCCTAGCCTGTGAACTGTTGGCCAGTTACTGCTGGGTGAGAGAGAGTAGACCTTCCTGAAGATCTCTAGATAGGCTGACTAGATTCCAGTGGATGGACTTGCACTGAGGGGCATCTGGACACAAACGCTTGACTGGGTAAGACTTAACGTGTATGACAGAATCCATGAGGTCCAGTGTGGGAGGTGGCATGAGGGGTCATATAAGGGAAGGGGTCTAAAGTTGATTAAGAACTATTGTACGAAGTCCACAAAAGCTCAATAAAAATATTTTTAAAATAAAAATTAAATTAAAATATACTTTAAATTACATTTTTCTTTTGTGTGAGTGTGTGTGTGTGTGTGTGTGTGTGTGTGTATGTGTATGTGTGTGTGTGATGTGTGGAGGTCAGAGAACAACTTGTAGGAGTTTGTTCTCTCCTTCCACCATGTTGTTTCTGGGATTTAAACTCAGGTTGTCAGTTGTGGTCCAAGCATCACTACCTGCTGAATCATCTAGCCCACCCCAGCATTTAATTTTTAAAGAAAGATGTGTTTTAGTTTTAATCATGTATATGTGTGTGTGCCTGTGTGTGGGTGTGGGCATGTGCACTTGAGTATGGGTACCAGAGGAAGCCACAGGAGTTGGATCTCCTGGAACTGAAGTTACAGGCAATTGTGAGCTGCCTGACAGGAACGCTCGGAATCAAACCCGGGTCCTCTGGAAGCAGTATGTGCTCTTAACTACTGAGCCATCTCTCCAGCCCCAGCATTCACTTTTCTATGGTGTCTGTTGACATGGCAGGAGTGTTGAGCAGAATGCCAATCTTTCTTTTTGGATGGCAGTTGTTGGAGTAATCATATTTTCAGAAGATTTCAGCAAGTCTTGTACACAGAGAACAATTTGACAAATGCAAAACAAATAAACAGTATCCACGTTTTTCCACATTTCTGCACTCTTCCTCTGCAATACAAGTAGTCATTTCAGAGGCTTCTCTATGAGCAGTTCTGTGCATATTTCTAGGTCACAGATCTGATCGTTGTATGTCTTTCTACAGGTAGCCACCTCTTTAAAAACTGATAGCAGAAGTATCAATACTTGTTGATCCAGTTATGATTTTCTATAATATTAAGTAATATTCATCTTATTCCTTGCTACTAATACTCTTCTGAAACATAATACCGATAGCTGAGCATAGGTGCTTTTCATGGACACACTGCAGATTGCTTCCGTGGGTAAATACTATTGACGTCTAGGCTGTTTTCTGTCTTCTAACTCACAATAAGGTAAACAAGCAAACACCTGCAGCCTGACTGTTGCCAGGAAGGAGAGTCCTTAAACAGGGTCACTGCATCCAAGGCCAGGGCTGCCACAAGCCTCATCATTTCTTTTGCCTCCCCTTCCTTCCCACCTCCATTCCTCCCTCTCCCCTTCCCCTTCCATTTTCTCCCTTTTACTCCCCCCAAGGAATTGAACCCAGGGCCCCATGCATAATAGATATCTCTATCGCTGAGCTTTATCACAGTCCTTGTATTATCTCTGATCTACCAATGCCACAGAGGACCATCAAGTCTACTTTTAAAATTCTCTATTTCTTTGAAATTTGAGATTGAACGTGTTTTTATGGTCCCTTGCTAACTAATATAAATACATGAACATAATTCTTAAGGACACATGATGCCAAAAGAAAACTCTCAGAACAGACCCTCGTGGTTCAATATGGCCAGAGCAGTGGGGAAGGCCAGGCGGCAGGAGGTGTGGGAGGCAGCAGGCCTGTGAGAAGCTGTGCTACTCACCAGCTTGGTGATTCCCCCGTGCTGTCTCACAGCCCGATGGGCTCTCTTGAACTTGGCAACATTTGCAATCGTCTCAGCTGCCAAACACTTCAGACTCTTGTGTGGAGAATCAAGTATATTAACCATAATTGGTAAGCCCCCAAGGTCAACAATATTACGTCTGATTTGAGGATTATGACTGATTTCCTTCAGGATTTTTAATGAACCAATCTATGTGGGGGAAAAAGTGACAGATGAATGAGTGTTTAATATATAACTAGTGCCATGTTTTTAAAAATTCCAAGTCTACCTAAAATCCCTCCCCAATTAAGTTTTCAAGAAATAGTTTCCATCCTCAGGGTTACACATCCTCTGTATTTTCCTTCACTTATATAAACAAACACCTTTCATTCCAAAAGTACAAGAAGTCAGTAGGAAAAAAGCAAGAGCAAGATGAAAATCAGAAAGAAAAGAAAATGTGGAGAAGCAGCAGGTTGACATCAGCGCTGACAGCGGCTAAAAAATGAGACAGCGAGGCATGGTAGACATCCAGAACTTCTAGGAGCATCATGAGAGGAAGCCAGCCACTGCAGCAAAGCCCTCACCTTGCATTTGACTTCATCTGTATCAAGCAGATTTATTAAGACTTCAAGGCCTCCAACGTCTCTGATCGCCAGCTGACAGGTCTCTTGAGCTAAGTTGAAATCTCTCATGGAACACAAGGCAATCACCGTTGCAGTCTGATTTCCCCCCTAAGAAGATGCAATGCCATATATAAGTTAAATAAAATCATGTTCCCACAGAATTGAGCCCATGAGCTAGAAGGGTGTTCTCGCTATACATGGCACATTAAAGTTTTAAAAGTTCTCTGAGTGGCTTATAATTTGCTAAATGAATGATGGCGAGCAGAAACATGGAAAAGCAGTGAGGGGCATCCTAAAGTGTTACTCCAATTAAGAGCCAACACTTAATGTGAGTCTGTCTTCTTTAAATAGCTACAACATTGGGTGACATTAATGTGTTAAAGAGAGTCCAGGGGCATGCCTTGAGAGAAGCAGCAGGTTGGCATCAGTGCTGACAGTGGATAAAAAATGAGACAGTAAGGCACGGTGACACCCATGGCACCCATGGCTGAGGAGTGCAAGTCAGATGTTGAGGTGGCAAATGGTCCCCTAGCTCTTGGTTGTTCAATACAATCCTCATCTAAATATTATTCTTACAGATTAACAGATAGACAAATATATACATTTGGCCTTTGTCTAGTTTTCTAACACACAATTCCTAAAATCCTTGTAATCTTCAAAATGATAGGTGGTAATGAGCTGGCTGATAGCTGATAGACCTTCCGTACATGGGTCCAGCGTGCAGGTTTGCCAAGAGAAGATCAAGGTAACTCTAAAGGGTTGGAACTTTCAGCTATACCAGCTAGCCTTGGGGAGGGGAGAGGGTCTGAAGGTTAAGCTGATCACTAAAGGACAATGATTTCATCAATTGTGTCTATGAAATGCAATCTCCATAAAAGTCACAAAGAACATGACACTCCTGGGGAGGCGTGTGCCCAGAAAAGGATGGGCACTCTGGTCCTTTCCCCATAACCTTGCCCACTGCACCTTTTCATTGCTGTCCTTTGTAATACCCTTTATAATAAATCAATGAGCATGTGTCCCGGGGTCCCATGAGCTGCTCTAGAGTTCACCAAATCTAAGGGTAGGTTGTGAGAACCCTACTTATAACCAACCACAGGCGTGAGTCACAGCAGGCCACCTACTCACCAGCTTGATGGGCATCTAAAATGTGAGGAAGGGCAGTCTTGGGGTGACCACCACCAAAACCATCTCAGTATCAGAACAGAATGGGATGGAGCACAGCAGCTGATGCCCGCTACTGGTGGGGTTGCATGCTTGGCGAGGGAGAAACTCTCAAGCTATCTGAAGTCACTAAAGTATTCTATGTTGACTGTCAGTGTGACAGCAGAGGAAACACTGTTCACATGTGTACATGGAACAGAGAAGCTGGAGAAAGGGAAACCACCTGATAGTGGCAGAGCAGCAGGACTGGGGCTTAGATAAGATGAGGGGAGGGCTGTGGGGAAACAGGAAGCCATTCCCAGAAGACGTGGGGTTGGGGGCATGAAGAGGGAAAAAGCAAGCTTCACTGTTGTGAGTGAAACATTGGCCCCAAATAGTAAATAACCAGGAATTACACAGCCGAGGAGCGGTGGCAAACTGTTCCTTTAAAATTGAAAGCACGCCTTTAATCCCAGCACTTGGGAGGCAGAGGCAGGCCGATCTCTGTGAGTTCGACGCCAGCCTGGTCTCCCTAGTGAATCCAGGACAGCTGGGGCTACAGGGAGACCCTGTCTCAAAAAGACCAAAAAAAAAAAAAATTAGAAATAAAACAGTCGAGAGATTAAAAGAAACCAATTGATCAGGGAACCAAATCTACCAGGAGATTGAAACTGGAATTCACTGCAGGAATTCCCAACCAGTGCCCACTGGAGAACACAGCAGAGCACACGTGACCTCTGCTGCTGTGGCTGCTTGGCAGCTAGATGGGACTCGAGCACCGAGCAATTCAGAAAGAGGCAGAGGCAGTATTTCTCTTAGAGCTAAGAATAAACGAGTTTTGCAGAAGGTGTTCATGATGACTGCCTCTGATTCTGCTTCAAAGCAGTACAGATGGCTCCAGAGCCGGTCTCTCAAATGTAGACAACTTCAAAATACGTTTATTTTCATTTAGTCATTTTATGCTACCATTAGCTATCCAATATATCACGTAAACAAGTTTTCTATGATTCTACAGTTTGAACGTCCCCCATCCCCAAATGCACATTGAAGTTCCATTGTCAATGTAACAGTGGAATTAGGTAATGAGGACCCCCACTCTGTGGAGGGATTAGTGCAGTGTGGACTTGGCTATCCTAGAAACTATGGGCTCACTTTATACCTGATGCCCTCTGCCCAGCTGATACAGCAAGAAAGCCATAACCAGATGCCAGCACCTTGAGGCTGGCCTTCCCAGCCTCCAGAACTTGAGAGATAAAAGCCTTTTTTATTAGTTTCTTTCTAAGTCTTCATATTATATCAAAGCATCATAAAGTGGACTGACATAAAAAAAAATAACAGGAGCATTGCATATTTATATGTTAAAAATACATATTTATGATACATGTTTCCTTATTCATGTTTAATGTATAAATATGAAAATTATCAATTAAGGATATATTTTATATAATAGATAATATATAATAGGCTTCACAGAAAATAGAAACAACAAATTGAAAGTGTCCACCTTCATAACACACATATACACACCCATTTCTGTGAATTCTTTATTTTCACAGAATATAATTTATTACCTTTTATTACTTTATTATTTATTACTTTTTAAAAAATATTTTTTTATTTTATGTGTATGGGTGTATTGCTTGCATGCATATAAGTGTACCCATATCATGCAATGCCCGACAAGACCAGGAGAAGTCATCTGATCCCCTGGAACTGGAGTTACAGATGGTTGTCAGTCACCATGGGGGTGCTGGGAATCAAACCTGGGTCCTCTGCAAGGGAGTCAGTGTTCTTAACCACAGAAACATCTCTCTAGCCCCCAATTTATTACTTTTAAAGAAAGAAACTAAAAAGTGATTATTTAAAAGTATACACCAAAAAGTGAAGAGGGAAAGATTTAGACTTAAGCTTTCTTAAGAAAAATCCTTTCACTTCTTCAAGACTGGCATGTGACAACATCACTGGCCCGGTCCTTTTCCCTCTACCATGGTGACTCAGAGAATCCTCACAGTGAAGGGGTGGTTCATAACCTACATGGAGAATACATTGTTTTTGTGTCTTTTTCTCCTATCAAGAGAAATGTAGCTGCCACCATTTACTTACAGTTGACTTCAAGGTCCAAAATAATAAATCCTCTTCTTATCTAGTTATCAATTCCATCATTTGGGGGCACAAAACTCCCAGACACTAGTGTATTCCATTTTTCTTTTAGAAAATTAAAGGTAGAAAAAAATGGCAACCACAAAGAAGGGCATGCATGTTAACCACCATCAATGAAAAGAAATGAAACATTACATGACATCTGATGGGGGACTAGAGGACAGTGTGGATGTAGGATGAGGGTATAATGATGATCAAGATGTTTTGTATGAAATGCACAAAAATTCAATAAAAATACATTAAAAAGAAATTGAACAATTCACAAAAAAAGAGAAAAAAATAAATAAGAGGGAAACTCATTTAATAAGGCTGCTTTTGAAAATTTCAATGTTTAAAAAGGAGTCAGAGAGTTCCCAGGAGGGCGCCAAAGGAAAGAACTAGGCTTTTACATTAAGTGTTTGAAAATTCAAACCAAGAGCTTCAGGTGGAGTGAGTTCTCCAGGGAGAGGGTGCATCCTTAAGTGTGGCTGAGGGAGCACAGGTGATAAGGAGCAGGGTATCCAGTCACAGCCTCCTCCCGCCCAGGGGTCTTCAGTGACCAAGAATATACTATTGAGAATTTTTGGTTGTACACTGGTGGTCCAGGACTTTCTGGACTGCTGCTCTTGATTTTTATTTCTTCAGTAGAATCTTCTGCTTATACATTCAGTTCAATCTTTGTGTGCTTCTTCAAGTAGGAATTTGAAAAAGCAAAGGATTACTTTTTCTCTCCTAGACCATTTCTACTTTTGAACTTTATCCCATTATTTACATCGTAATCAGTAATATATGTATTTTTTAAAGTCATTATTGTAGTAGATGTCTAAAAGGTGAGAACATATATTTTTCTGAATTATCTGTCTCTAGGCAAATTTCAGAGTCAAAGAACAGGCTCACATTTATCACTATGAAGCTAGATCCTTACAGAAAATATTTTCTGTAAATCAGCTTTGTCTGAAAATCTGGAAACATATTCATAGGCTTGAGGGATTTTTTTTAGAACGGTTTTATATTAGGAAAAGTTAGTTTTTCCACATTTCAGGATTTCCCTCTACTCTTGTCAGTGACCACACTCCCAAGAGGATTATAAATCTCTCAGAATGAATACCAGAAGACGGGAGCCAAAATATCCAATGCACAGAGCCACAGATGTTGGCCAATTGCTATTCTTCTAAATACCAGCTTTGTCAAAGAATTTCGAACACTTCTACCTTGCCCAGATGCCTTAAATATCTAGCTGAGGAAGGGTGGTGCAAGCATGCTCTTTTTTCAATTAAACCTCCCCTGAGAACATAATTAGTTGCCAATACTTATTTTCCCATTTTATCACGCATTTGTATTTGTGAGGTTTTAAGAGCTGGAGAAAACATAGTAAAATATATTTTAGTAGTTTCTGACAGACTTGAGAAATGTTTCCCATAAAGTTTTCCATTTCTGAAATGAGTGCAATTCTTCTGCTGGTTGTCTTCAACCCAGCTTCTTCTCAGTGTCTCCAGTCTTCAGGCTCTGCAACTCACAGTCCTTCCTATAGGCAAGAGTTTGCTCCTGGTCACACTGCAACATGCAGAGAGAGAGTAAATGCCACTTTCTCCAGCTTTTGTTAAACTGTTTTTCTTTTGTATCATTTTACTATGAATGGTATTGTTTTTTAATTAAATTTTTTAATTTTTAAGTGTATAAGTGTATTGCCTACATGTATGTAAGTGTACCTGTGTTGTGCAATGCCCATTGAGGACTGAAGAGGGCATCGGATCCCTCAGAACTGGAAATAAGGTTGTTAGCCACCATGTGGGTGCTGGCATTCCAACCCAGGTCTTCTGCAAAAG